GATTTGGCATTCTTTATATTAACTCAGTAAATATTTAAAATTTATCTTTATGCTACTATTTCATTATGAACCCATTTCATTAATAAAAACTCAAAGTATTGAGAGGTTAAACAATTTACAAAGGTTACACAGCAGGCCTCATCCTAGTTCTCTTATCTTCATCATATTTCATCAATTCTAGGGCACATTTTTCACATTTTAACATCTCAAAAATTGGAATACATTTTCTAATCGATCACACATCTTAGTTTCATTGGTAGCTTTTAAAATTTTTCTTAGTAATACATAAAATAATGTCTTTTACAATCAATAGCATAACAGCATCTTTTATTTTTTGTTGTTAATACACACAGCAAAACATACACCAGTTCAACAATTTTTCTACATGTACAATTCACTGACAATCATATCCTTTAAGCTGTGCAATCTTCTTAGCCTCCTTTTCTGAGCCGTTCTTGCCTCATTAATGTAAACTTACTACCCCCTAAGTTTCTTATCTACTCTTCTGAGTTGCTATTGTCAATTTCATCCCATACAGGTAGTTATTAGAAAAGCATAATGTAGACATTTTTCACTAGTTAAGCTATTGTTTTAAGGAACTCTGGTGGTATTGTGCATAAGGTATTTGGCTGCTAACCAGAAGGTCAGAGGTTCAAACCCACCAGCCACTCTGCAGAGGATGTTGTTGTTGTTGTTGTTACGTGCCGTCAAGTTGGACCCGACGCATAGCGACCCCTCCTTGGGTTTCTGAGGCAGTTATCACTACGGAAGTAGATTGCCCCATCTTCCTCCTGAGGAGTGGCTGGTGGGTTTGAACTGCCAGCTTTCTGGTTAGCAGTCAAGTGCCTTAGGCACTACGCTACCAGAGCTCCTCTGCAGAGGATAAGGCAATCTATTTCCATAAAGATTTACAGCTTTAGAAACCCAGTGGGGGTCACTATGAGTCAGAATCAATTCAATGGCAGTGAGTTTTGGGGTTTATTATTAATTATTATTATTTACTATTGTTATGTATTATTACTTTACTCAAAAAACTCTGCCATTGAGTCAGTTCTGACTCATAGTGACCCCCCCTTGGGTTTCTGAGACAGTATCTCTATAGAAGTAGATTGCCCAATGTTCGTTCTGAGGAGTGGCTGGTGGGTTTGAAGCGTAAGCCTTCTGGTTAGCAGTCAAATGCCATAGGCACTACACCACCAGAGCTCCCATTATTTCACTATTGATTATTATTATTTTTATTATTGTTTGTTTTAAGAAGCCTTCAAGGGATATTTGTGGTTTAAGGTTTCATGATTATTTCAGGGCAATAGCTTCAGGGGTTCATTCAGCCTCTATAGCTCCAGAAAGTCTGGAGTCATCAAGAATTTGAAATTCTGTTCTACATTTTCCCTCTTTTGATAAGGAACCTACCATAGAATCTTTGATCAAAATGCCTAACAGCATCTTGAAATATGGTATCCCACCAGGTCAAGAACCAATAAGCTTTTAAGAAAACAAACATGCCAGAGTCCATGGGTCTTAGACCCTCATGCAGAGCTGTTTCCTCTTACTTTGAATAGCTGTAATATTCATATTAACCTGATTCCTAAGGCCAAAGGAGTCTAAAAGGAGTAAATGTACAAAGAACGCTGAGGAGGCTGGCAGGCTATAGCACAGAGAGAAGGCAAGTGAGGCACATGACAAAAATGACAACAGGAAATGGAAGACTGCCAGGAATAACAAGTCTGAAGCCATGTTTCCAAAACCAGTAGGAAGTCAAAGAAAGGGATTTTTGGCAACTTTGGGGACTATGGGAGCTCTGGTGGCACACTGCCTAAGGCATTTGACTGCTAATCAGAAGGCTGGTGGTTCAAACCCACCAGCCACTCCTCAGAAGGAAGGTTGGGCAATCTACTTCCATAGAGATACTGCTTGGAAACCCAAGGAGGGATCACTAAGAGTTGAATCCAACTCGACAGCAATGGGTTGGGGACTACTGGATCAAAGCAAACAGGTTTTGGTGGCAATACTTTTTGGCATTTAAAAACCAGTATGAGAGACTTCTAGTAAGGTGGTGGAATAGGCAGACAAGCTACACAGACCCTCTTCAAAAAAAAGAAACCAATTAACAAATACAGAAGATAACCCTAAAGCCCTGAGCTTTCAAAGGAAGTACACAGAAGTGGATTAGGCACCGAGTTGAAAAACCCTGAAAGCAGCATAGGAAAAACAAAAAGTTACCTACAGGGGGCAACCAATAAGACTAAGCTCAGATTTCTCAGCAGAACCCAGGAAGGTGAGAAGATAATGGAATGGTATATATAAAATCCTGAAACAGAAAAATTTCCAACCAAGAATTATATACCCAGCAAAAGTGTCCCTCAAATATGATGGTGAAATTAGGACATTTTCAGATAAGCAGAAATTAAAGGAATTTGTTAAAACCACACCAAACTTATAAGAGATGCTAAACGGAGTCCTTGGACCGAGAACCAACAAGAATAAACAACAACCGATCATTAACACCCATGACCCAGAAACCAACCCAGTTATAGAAGTATCCAATGTAAATAAGCCTACAATATTGTAAAGAGAGAAGCAGAGACATCAACTGGCAAATGAAGACAACTACAAACCAAAAAGAGGGAAAATACTGTATAGTTACAGAACTTCTAAATGGTAGGGAAGTCAAGAATTGACTGTTTTAAACTTGGGAAGAAAATTATAAATCACAGGGTAACCTCAAAGAAAAATAATAAACCTTTACATCAAAATAAAAAAGAAGACCAGCACAAATATTTAGCATGTAGTGATACCGCCTTGGGAACCCAAAGAGGGGTCGCTATGAGTCGGGTTCAGCTCTACAGCAGGGTGTTTGGCTGGTTTTTTTTTTCTTTAAATAGCAACGAAGGAAGTGCTAACACAATTCATAAACAAAACGAGCTCAGCACAGAAAATTATATGGAACAAAGAAATCAACATCACGAAAAACCAAATAATGTAGAACCTGAAAAATACCACATAACATGGATGAATTTGGAGGACATTACGCTGAGTGAAATAAGTCAATCACAGAAGGACAAATATAGTATTATTTCATTATTGTAAAAAGTCAAGGAAAGGTTTATATATGGAAGGAAACTGTTGGTTACCAGGGGTGAAAGGGGAAGGGAGGGAACACTGAAAAAAAAAAAAAAATGCATTGACCCATGTCACTTTAGTTTTGTGTGTTTTACTGTACATAAATTATATTTCACTAAAACGCATTAAAAAATATCAATGTGGAAAAACTTTAAAAAGGATGAACTTGGCTAACTTGCTAACTGTTGCTCTATTTATTAATCTAATCTACTGACTGTCACCTTTTGAACCACTATACCTACCAATACCATCAAATACTTACTACTCCTTTGGAAAGGTAGTTATTGACAAAGTCCTTCCAAGTAATTTCTCTCCCAGAGCTCTTGAACAGGAAGTAAAACATAACACCACCCCAAAATAGAGCAGTCCAAAGAAAATACATTCTGAATTCTTTGTCATCCCATGGAAAGTCACCCTGGAGCAAAAGATGAGAAATTTTCTATGAAGAACAAAATTTCAAAATGTGATCTGTGATATGTTAGACACAAATTCCTCTCATTGTTATCAGTGTCTTCCAACTTTTCTTATAGCTACCACCATCACCTCAAAATTAACACCCTGTTTGTAATCACACCTTCTGGAACCTGGACCACCAGTGAGAATCATCTTTCTTGCCACCTCGTTTTCCACCACCACCAACTCCTCCACCAGAAGAATGTGGTGTGTTAGCTGGCTTTGATTCTGTTCATAAACAAAAAACACATATAAAAGCATAGCAAGATTTTATCTCTCTCAAAATGTTTTTATTAATACAATTTAATAAAGGACTAACTACAAAATACAGCATAACAACTACTCAATTACTAAATAAAATATATGAAGAAGTATGGTACTAATATAAACAATATTCAAGGAGGGCTTGTAAGTGCTTCCCATACACTATCTCATTAAATCTGTACAATAACTCAATAACCTTGTAAGTTTACTTTTATTATACACATTTTATAGGTAAAGAAATTGTAGTTCAGAAAGGTTAAATAACTGAGTAATTTTTTGCAGTGTTAAGAGATACTGTTGGGATTTGAACCCTGACAAGCAAATTCCTGAGCCCTCACTTATAATTTAAAAGTTCATGCTCCCCTCTATGACTCACATGAAGTAAACACTGCTAATAGTTTCTTCTGTAGGAAAGATATAATTTTGGTAATTGGTTAAGGAAAAAAAATACTCACGTAGTTTACAAGAACCTGAAATTAGTCCCTAACATCTTCCTTTCTTTTCCCACTTTTCTATTCTCTCAGTGACCCATAAATGCATATCATCTAACTTCCACTACCATGAAGCAAGCTCTCATACTGCACCAAGATGACAGCTACAGTCACTCAGCCATCCTCAGTGGCTACACAACACAACGGTTTCATGACATGCCTCACCACTGTGATGCATGCAAGGAACTCCTGGACCTCTCTGTCTTTAGTCTAGAGTCTGAGACAGGCATGACATGGATAAGTCTCAAGTCTACCCTAAAAAGGCTTAGGACTGGAAAATACAGAGTAAGCATGTGTTTAAAGCTGTCTGACAATATCCCATACTACTTATTCCATAAGGTAACAAACATGCAAAAGGTACCAAACAGGTAATAATTCTGTTGTATTTAAAAAGTAAATCTAATATCACTAATATACCCCCACACCAAGATTAAACCGACTGACTACCTTCCATCCCCCTGGAAAAAAACTTAGAAGTTGCCTATGTCACCAATGTTCCACACTAGAATTATGGGCGATAGTCAGTCCTCACTTGTTGCTTTTGCCTTCCCTTGCCCCCCAGTCTTGCTTTCACTCCTATGCACAGAAGTTCATTGGAAAACAAGGGCTGCACTATAATTTCCCTTATATTTCTTTAAAAAAAAAAAAAAAAGAGGGATGGCAACTAAATGCTAGCATGCTCCAGGCAGTGTGCTAAGTGCTACCAGCACATGAGTGAAATAGGAGACAGGAGGCCTGGTACATCCCACATAGCTCACCCAGCCACTCAACTCTAAGAAACCGTCTTTGAATCTCTAAGATAAGGCTCTGAGAAATAATCAGAAAAACACAACATTATACCACAAGATGTGTCAAATAAATTGCATGTACTCCATTTTTAAGATTTTTTCTCAAAGGTTTTTACATTTTGTGTCAAATAAAAACCAAATATGCTTTAGTTTGGTCAGTTAGTATCTTTAAGATGACATGAGTTACCTCAGTTTGAAAAATGACAGGAAAATATGAACAGAAAATTAAGGTGTAATGAAACATAAGGTCTAGAATTTTACATGCATGTGTAACTTAATTTCAGAACTGACTTAAATCAACATTATCATCAATATCATACATTAGTGAAAAACCAGAAATGCAAACATAATCTTTTTAAAAAGTACCTTTTTTCTCTCCCGTAAATTCTTTAGGTTCACTAGCTTTTTTCCCATTTTTTCCATTAGGAAAGTATTTTTCAAATCCTGTAAGAAAAAGAAAAAGTACATATCCTCAAACTAAAATTCATCAGTGTTTCTGTATATGTGTGTGTTTGTTTTTAAAGCAACTGCTATATCATTTTTTTTTTTTTAAGTACAGCACTGTTGGAATAAATCAGAGACTAAATGGTCTAGTTCACAACCCAGAGATGTTAAAGGAAAAAAAAAGGTCATTTGTATACCAATTTCTTTAAGTAAAAGTGTGTTATTACACTTGAAGGTGACCCATTTCATCATTGCCATCAGACAGAAATTGGAGGTAGAGGAGCAAGTTACAAAAGGAGACTTAAGAGTCATCTGAAACACAACTACACACCTTATAGTCACACTTAAGCAATTACCTTTTGGAGGTTGAGAACAGAATCTTTGATAAGCACCAATTACATCTGTCAGAAGAGAATTTCTGCTGGCTGCTACTGGAGTTGAAGCATATCGATAAAGCTGTAATGTGACATGTAAATAAAAGTGTCAATGTTATATCAAAATGAAAAGTTAGAAGAGCTTTATTTCCTAATAGGAAGTAGATACAATGTTTCTCCCTTCAACAAGTGGTTACAGACTAACACAGACAGAGAAGCAGTTTTTAAATGGAGCACAAATTTGTATCTACCACTATGGTAGCTATTCAAGCAAAAGAACCAGAAAACAAATTATCCAGAGGAATATTTGTAAATCATATATAATTTAGAATTGTAGCCCAAATACAATCCTCTGACAATATATTCACTTTCACATTGTATACTTAGTTGGCAGCAATCAAAAGACAAAATCTGGCACAAGATAAACTGCTGCTACATGCTGACTCATTTGCAAAGTCTTTGCAAGATATTTACCTGAAATTACAGGACCGTGTTGCTTGTAAGCATAATACTAAACTTATCTTAGTTAAAAAATAAGAAAGTTAAATGGTACAACCATTGTGGAAAGCAGTATGGCGATTCCTTCAAAAGTTGAAATTAGAAATACCATTTGACCCAGCCATCCCATTACTAGGTATATACCCTAAAGAAGTGAGAGCCATAACAAGAACAGATATACGCACGCTGAT